CAGTTTCCCTCTGGGGCTGTGATACCCCCGCCCCCCCACCACACGTAAACATAAATATTTTAATTAATTAAATACTTTATTTTTCATGCTTGGATGGTTCTTTTTTTCCTTTTTTTTCCCTTTTTTTTTGTGGGTTTTTTTTATTTATTTATTTTATTTTATTTCTATCGTTGCCTTGACCTTTTCACGGGAGCGTCGGCCGCCGGCTCTGGACCACGATGGGGGGGGCAGGACCAGAGTTTTGGGGGGACATGGAGACGGGGTGAGACCCCCCAGGGAAGGGAGAAGCCCCCTTTTTGGCCCGATCGGGGCCACAAAGAGCTCCTGGGTGAGGGGGGGGAACAAGGGACATGTGTCACCACGTCCCCTTCACCTTCCTCCTGGAGGTGGGGAAGAGGATGGAGCATCCTCCATCAGGCTCCATCCCCAGGTCCCCACGGAGGTGGCAGCCCCCATGGGACCCCCCCCCCACTATCCCAGGTTGTGTCCTTGGGGTTCTTCCTGGCTTGTCCCCATGTCCCCATGGGGTGAGAAATGGACGGAGAGAGGGGCAGGCAATTAAAAAGCAGCAGGAGCCGGGTCCCGTGGCCACCACAACGTCCCCAACACCGATGTCCCCCGACCTGAACCCCAGAAATGAAGCCAGGACCCCCCCACATCACCTCCTGTAACCTCATCCTTGTGCCACCAAGGCCAGAAGGGACCTTACCCAGCCTGGAGACACCAGTTTAAAAAAAAAACCAAAAAACCAAAAAAAAACCCAAAAGAACAAACAAGAAAAACAACAACCAAAAAAAAAAATTAAAAAGATAAAAATAACCCCCCAAAAAATACGAGACAGAGGGGGGAGCATCCCCTTCCCAGGGTGGGAGGTAGCAGGAGATGAGGGGGGGGGGACGGCAGCGAAGCCCTGGAGGGATGTGGGGAAAAGTTGGGGGGGTGACAAGAGGGGTGACCCCCCCCATGAGGAGCTGGGGACAAGAGCTTGGGGGAAGAGAGAGAGAGAGAGAGA